AAGTCTAAAGAATGGTAAAGGTGGATAAAGGATTGGAGAGTTTATCGTGGGTTTAAACCCATCATTGTTTTTCCAGACCTCAGGAGCTTAGAAAGATAAAAAGATGAGGCAGATACGGCCAGATGATGGAAGGAGAAACCAGGTTCAGGAAATACATGAGTTAAAGAAATGTATGGCCAAAGGAAATGGTGAAAATCTATTTAGAATGAAGAGTAGAGAAGAGGAGGAACTGAGGAGTAATTAATAAAAAATTGAGAGAATAAAATAAATAAATATGAGCTAATAGCTGTACAGGAGGAAAGAGAATGATGATAAGAGTATTCCTTTGGAAGGGTCAACAAAAGCAATAGGAAATTAATGTGGTGGTAGAGTGGGGGAAGGGAAGAATTAAGGAATAAGATGAGGTGGAAAAGAGTATGGTACAAAGAAGGTAAATGGATGGCGAAGGCAGGCGTGCTGAAGCAGATCAGAGCCGCACAGAGCCCTGGAAAGGGAAAAGAGGAAAGAGTGGGCTATCAAAGGAGACACATGCCTTTAGTGTGAGGAGGACACAGCATGGCCAAGGCAGAGAGAGAGCACTGCAGGGGGTGAGCAATTTGGAAAAAATGGCTTGGCAGACTACCACTGGGCTCTAACAGAGAGATGCTTATGAGGAGAGAAATTGCAGAGATGAAGAGCGAGGGAAGAGAATCTCACCAGCATTCATTCCGTCGGCCTCATCAGTCACTTTGTATTTTACTGCCAAGACAGAACACAGAGAAGAGATGAAAAAGTAGAATTCCCATTTACTGCAACTGACAGGAACTTGAATCTTCCCAGCCCCCTGAGAAGCAAAGACTTCAAGCCTCTGATGTCATAAATTGCTGGGTTGCCTTGGCAACCTGACAGGGTCCCTCCTCCATGATGTCAGAGGCAGCTGGTGTTACCATACTGAGACCCACACAGGAACAACTTGCACCTCTGCATCACATGGGGGCCTGGGGTCTGGCTAGAGTCCTATCTGTAGGACTCCTATCTCTGGTAGTGACTTTGCTTCTCTGGAGCTATTCTTAGCTCACGACAATTGTCACAAACCACTTTCTGAGTGACCAAGGCTTGCCAGATCCTGACAAAAGCAAGAGGAAGTGACCTCAAGAGACATTTTAGGCATTGAGGTTGGGATGGTAGGACAGAAAGGCTTGTGAAAAAGGAAGAGAACTAAAAATGACGGCTGTGGAAAAGGAAGGGAGAAGGCTTTGTAAACAGGGTGGGGAGCTGGAAATATAGAAGAGAAGACCGGAGCAGTGCCAGCGTAGAATATGGAAGGGAGTTTTGGAATGCCAGAGGGCACAGTAATATTTGGCTGAAATGAAGGATGGGAAAATGTCCTTTTAAGAGATTAAGACTAAGGATTACTATGGTGGGTGACACAGGGCAGCGGCTGCCTCTATCCAGTTTTTTTTTTTATTTTTAGGGTGAGTGAGTTGGGGGTTGAGACAGGGTCTCACTCTGTAGCCCAGCCTGGCCTGAAACTTGAGCAGATCTTTTTTACTTCATTCTCCTGGGTTTGAGAATTTTAGGTCCAAGCCACCATATTAGTTACAATTAGTTTCTAATTGTAATACCTTGAAGTATCTGTCATGCAGAACAGGCTTTATAAATACCTCTTGAGCAAATGTTCAGAGAGTCTGAGAGTAGTCCTAACTCTCATCCTGTCTCCCAGACCTGCCTGGATACATAGTCACATTGAGAAATCAGAAACAAGGTGGAAAGGCCCACAGACCTGGGAAAGAAGAGACACTGTGTTGGGGAATGAAGGTACCACACTAACTCACTAGGAAGTCTCTGGGTATAATATGAGGAAAACATGAATGAACCATCCTGGAAGCTTAGGGAAGATACAGAGAAGGTTAAAGAGACAGATTCCAGGAAAGGCCCAGGCTTTTCAAAGAGAGCAAGCAAATCTGAGTTGAAATAGCATCCCTACCCCATTCTTCATCGTGAAGCCAAAGCTGAATCAGCCATACTCACAGGTGTGCACACCGTCATACACAATGACAAGTTCATAAATCAACACCAGACCCACCCTAAACACCTGTCTCAAAGTGATTACAGGGTTATGAACCTTGGCCAAGTGGGCCAGAAGATAAGAGATGGGAGTTAACGGCTGCCCAGGCCTCAGTGTAAAAACCCTGTAAGAAATGACCTTCACATCTGACTGCCCACTGTTGGGAAAAAAATCCTGAGATTCAGAGCTCACTGAGTCTCAGAGTGAATCTGCAGAAAGAAACCTCAGAGGAGAAAGGTGTCCAACCAGGGCTTATGACCTGGCCTGTTCTTGCAATAAGGAGCCAAAAGCCCCAGTTGTAAAAGCTGGAGATTTGGCAGAGGGAGAGTGCAGGCAGCTCTGGGGAGAGTCTGGCTTATTATACTAAGAAAGCCCTGGCAGCGGAAGGGGCTGGGGTTGGGGGGCGGGTGTCAGGAAGGGAGAGGACAGTGGCAGCCATGTGTACTGTCAGCAGCCGCCAGACTTGGGCAGCTCATATTTTGCAGCAGGTGACAAGCTGTCGACACAGCGGTCCTTTACCTCACTGTTAGAAGCTCATTTCATTGATTTTCCCATCTTTCTTCTTGGGCTCCTCACACTCAGCTTCAGGCATCCCACCACCCAGGGCCCCTGTGCTCCCTGGGAAAGCCTCAGTGAACTAAAGTGCCCAACTGCCTACCTATCCCTTTCCCATCCAGCCCGGGCTGGAAAAGCAGGGGTGAAAGATTTGGAGATGATGTCCAAATGGTAGACCTACTCCCCAGTGAAGTTTTACTAGGAAAGGCTTTTTTTTTTTTTTTTTTTTTTTTCTTTTGAGATGAGATTCTGCTGTATAGTTGTAAGTAGCCTGGAATGTGTTACAAAGACCAGGCTGGCCTTCACTGACAGTGATCCTCCTCCCTCTGTCTCCTGAGTGCTGAGAAGCCATTCTTTTTAGTTTTGGTTATCTTTTTTTAAATTTTTTTCTTTTGTGTGTGCCGGGGAGGGGGTATTGGGGGTGGGAGAAACTGTCTCATGTAGCCCAGGCTTCAAACTCATTGCATGCTGGCCTTGAACTCCTGATCCTTCCTTGCCTCACCCTCCCAAATCCTGGGATTACAGCCATACAGCATTATGTCTGTTTTCTTTTCCATTTCCTACCAAGGCAGCTCATCACTCCTCAACTTTTTTTTTTTTTTTTCCTCCAAAAGTCAAATGAGAGAACTGGAGTTTCCTCCTGTGTTTGGGAAGGAATATGTGGTTATTTTAGAGCCTTGGAACTCACAGCAGAATGATGTGTACATGGAGACATTTACAATTAGGAAACCATAATTACCCAGGGTGTGTGAGAACCCAGTGAGAAGAGGATATATGCTTATCGGGTCTGTGGCATGCTGAAATGCCAAGCTGATGGGGCAGGATGGGTGTAGACTGCAGTCTCCAGTCACAGCTAACTACCCTCACCCTCTCCCTTTGGGACTGGGTTTTTAGCTAAAGGTCAAAGTCAGTTGCCAGTCATTTGGCTTCTTAATGAAGGAAGGTGGAGGACTGGATTCTTTTTTTCCTCTGGAGGAAAAAAAATGGAGTAAATTTCTTGCCATACTCAAAAATTTCATTCCTTGTTTTATTGGCTCTCTAAGCATCTGCCCTTGCCGCCAATCCTCGAGCTCCAGTCTCCTCTCCTTACCCCTGGGGCTCTTCCCTCCTCTGTAGTTACCTTCATCCCATGTTATGAAAACTGGCCTTTGCTGGCCACGGGTACCCTTTTTCCATCTCTGGCTTCTTCAGACTCTGGATTCTAAAAACCCAGAGATACATCCTGGTGCCTTAGAGACAGAAGTGCCCTGGAGAATGGGAGAGAAAAGAGCAGGGATGGTGGCAGAGGTACATCTGGCATCTTAGAATTTACAGGGTGGAAGCAGTACTCAGAGTTCAAGGTCATCTTCAGCTACTGGAGACTTTGAGGCCAGCCTGAGACCCTTCCTTTATATGATAGAAATGGAGGAAGTGGCTTAGAGATGAGAGAGATCTCATTTAAGTGAAAAAGGAAGGAGAGTTGTGTGGCCAAAGAAAGAACCTCCGAGAAGGCAGGTAGTCTGAACTCTTCCCTACCCCTCTTGTCCAGGAAAGATAGCCCAAGATAGCCCAAGATGAGGGAGAGTAGGTGGTCATGTGTGAAAACATCAAGGCCTTAACTCAGCTCTGGGTCAGTCCTGAGTTCAAGCTGTGCTGGTTATGACCCTTATGGGAGGAACTGAAGTGGCAAATTAACTAATATAATGAAGTCACTGCTTTTTGTTTATCTTTACTGGTTTCCCCAGGAGGTTTGTCCTCTGGCCAGCAGGGCATCGTGGGGGAGGGGAAGGACAGCAGCGGTGAAGGGCAGGGGGAGGGTGCCTGCCTCCCTCTGGACAGAAAGAAGGAAATGTGGAAGACAGGACAGAGGCCATGTGGAGGGTGATGAATGTTAAGCAACCCAGAGATGGAGGCAAGAAGACAGAAGAGAAACATAAGAAAAAAGGAGAGAGGGGAGGGATGGACACAGAAAAGAACAATGGGGACCAGGAGTGAGAAGGCCAGAAGGAAGACAAGGGAAAAAGAGGGAAACAAGAGGGGTGAAATGGAATGGCGAGCAGTAGAGAAGAACATGGCCCAAGCTGTGAAAGCTGCAGCTGGTGGGGCCTGTGGGCGGGGCCTCATCTCCATCTCTAATGGCTGTGAAATGAGGTTAGCTCCATTAGAAGCAGCAAGAGTGTAACGAGATCACACTCATTAGGGCCGGGCCATCCTAGTAATTACCACCACCCCAAACACTCTGCCAGCCGCCAGCCGCCAGCCGGCCACCAAGCGCTTGCCGGCACACACACACAGCCGCAAACCACACGGTGTAGAATGGAAGGCCAGCATAGGTGTAACCTCAGGACTTTGGGGCATGCCTACCTGAGGTGAGCAAATTGACCAGCCCCCAAAGAGGTGCCCAAAGACCAATACATTCCCAATATCCCCTCTTCAGGAAATAAGGCATGCGAATAGGAAGTGGTCGTTATTTTATTGATTGATCATATCCAAAGTGTTAGCCTGAAAATGGGGAAGGGGGATAAAACTCTGTGACACCCTACTTCCCGTTCTTTGCAACACATGAAAAGGGTTGAACAGAGGCTTTGTGACACACAGCAGAAGCCGACCTCAGCTCTGACTACAGAAGCTGTGAAGTTTTAGTTTTCTTTTGCCACTCCTACACCTCCAGCTCCAAGTCTGTTGTTGGTTTGTTTGTTTGTTTGTTAAGTAACATCAGACTGCTTGATGGAGTTCATGTGCTAATATGGAACACATGCAGACTGTTAACTTTTTAAAAAAGTATTTTTTTATTGTGTACGTATGGAGATCAGAGTTCAACTTTGTGGAGTTGGGTCTGTCCTTCCATCTTTATGCAGGTAGGTTCTTAGGATCAAACTCAGGCCGTGCAGCTGGTACCACAAGCACCTTACCTGCCGAGCCATCTCTCCATCTCTGAACTCTTAAGAGATATAAACAGACACACATATCACCATTCAGATAACCCCACCCAGCCTTCAGCTCCTCTGGACAGACAGAATGACCACTTTGTACCTTTGAGCTCAAAGAGAACAGCAAATGCACAAAGGCAGCGTCGCACCTCAGAAAGGCCTCTTCAGACTGCACAAGAGCCAAGAGCAGAGGCCCTGCGGCAGGGCACCCAAGTTCCAAGCTTACTGTTTATCATCATCATCATCATCATCATCATCATCATCATCATCATCGAAACTGGCCCTCACTATAGAATTCTGCCTGGCTTCAGACTCAGTGATACACCTGCCTCTGCTTCCTAGTGCTAGGGTTAAAGGTATGGGCAACCATGATGGCTACTCCCTTTATATATATATACACACACACATACACACATATATGTGTATACATTACATTTTGTCATGTGTGGGCGTATGAGCACATGTGCGCGTGCGCACGAACACACACACACACAAAACACACGTACAGACATCATCTGTTCTCTCTTTTCACTATGTGGAGCCCAAAAAATCAAACTCAGGCTTGACAGCAAGTACCATTATCCACTGAGCCATCTTGCTGGCCTACGATTCTGCTTTCTAAACTCATCTCTTTTTGTCTCCGTGTGTAAAATGGGATGAAGCTGTCTGTACAGAGGGTGAGTGTTGTGATACTTGCCAGGGCCTCCACACAGTGCCTTGTCATGCTGCAAACATGTAAAGGTGTTGTCTGACTAGGAATCCATCTCAGTGGGGGTGTGCTTGTCTGGCAGAGACCAGGCTCCGTGTTAAAGATGTCAGCTACTGTAATTGCTACAGTTGAGGAGCTCTTACCCTCAGTGTAAGAGGCAGAGACAGGCAGGGCACACAGGAGATAACTTAGAGACCCAAAGTCTAAACCTGAATCATGTTTCGTATATGTCTTTTAAACATATCGTGTTACTGGGGAATTGGGGTTCCCTTTTATGGGTTCTTGGTGTCATTGATAGAAGAATTTAAAAACAAAGCTTGGTGTGTTGGCACATTCCTTTTAATCCCAGCCCTTAGGAGACAGAGGTTGAAGCAGACTGGATCTCCATGAGTTCAAGGCCAGCCTGGTCATATGGAGTTCCAGGTCAACCAAAACTACACAGTAAGATTCTGTCTTTGGAAGAAAAAAAAAAAAAAAAAAATTAACGGCCTTTAAAAGGAAGCCTGAGGACCATTTCATTAAAATGCAGGAGAAAAATGACAAAACAGGAAAGTTGAAAACGTGGGTAGCTTTAAGAGAAAGGAGATGGGAAAGAAGAGAAAATCGTTCCTTTTGAGTTACATAGATCAGCTCTAGGTCTGCAAATAACTGTGGATGTTAGAGGACTTCAGAGAAACAGAGGGAAAGCTGGGAGAGTTAGTGCGAGCATGCTTAGTATCTTGGCAGGTGTCCAAAGAAGAGATAGGAAGGAGAAAAGGCAAAGTTAGACTTTTGAGCCAGAACTCAGGAATGCAGTCACGCTTAGCAGTGAACATCTGCAAGCAACTGCCTAAAGGAGGGGCCTCGGAGATGCACGTTATCCCATGGAAGGGATAATTATTACTCCCATTTCCTTAGCTGGGCCTCAGGTAAATCAGCTTTCCTGAGGGTGGTACTCTGGTCACGAGATTGACAGGCTAAATTGGTTTATCTGTTAAGGGAGAGGGCAATTGTATGCACTGTTGTAGTATTTAAGGCAAATCAGCATGTCTCATCTCCACCCAGGGCTAGAAGAAGATTCCATTCCTCTGATCAGGAAGAATTAGCTCTCCTGTGTGTGTAGCCCTTAATAGAAGATAGAGACCATTTTCAAAAGCCTCCCAGCCTATTTATATATATGGCCTAACATATAGGGCCTATTTAGTTGCCTAACATTAACCTGAGGGAAATTTGTTTGTCTTTCAAGTTTTAGAAGTTTGTTTGTTTTTTGAAACAGGGTCTCACTTCTGTAGCCCTGGCTGGCCTAAACTGGTCTGTCCTTGAACTCATAGTGATCCATCTGTCTCTGTGCATGTGGGTGTGGATGTTTGTACAGGATTCCAGGAGCTAGTTACAGGGGATTGTACCAGCCATGCAGATGCTGACACCCTCTGGAAGGACAGCAAATGTCCTTAACTACTTCGCCATCGCCCCAGCCCTTGAAGGAAGAGGGCAGTTTTCCGTCCGTCCATGACTTGTACCCATAGAACAGGTGCAGTACTAGAATCATATTGTTACTCAAAAATTAACTGTAGAACATTTTGGACTTTTTTTTTTCTTTGAGACAAAGTCTTACCCCTCTGTAGCCCCAGCTGGCTGCAGGCTATGTAGCTCAGGCTGTCCTCAACTCGTGGCAATCCTGCTGTTTCCATCTCCTGAATTTTGGGACTGTAAGCATGGGCCACCAAACAGAGGAAGGTTTGACTGATGTCTTTCAGTGCTGACTGCTAACCGAAAGCCTTGTGTGTATGAGACATACTCCATTACAATGTATACCCAGTCGTACTTCGGAGGTTTAGACTAGAAATACTCAGACTGGAGTAGTTGTTGCAATGTTATTGATTGATTGATCGATCGACTTAGTAGTATTTGGGATTGAACCAGGGCGTCACGCATGGTAGGCAAATGTTTCACCACTGAGCTATATCCTCCTATAGCTGCCTTTTATTAAATATTTTTTATTTATGTGTTTATTTTTGGTGTTTGAGCCTTATGTAACTTTGTATAGCCAAGGTTGGCCTTGACCTCCTAGCCCTGAGTTTCCAATTCCTGAGCGCTGGGTTTACATGCACCCACCACCAAGCTTGGCACTTGTCATTCTGAGGCAGTCTGGAGCCCAGACAGGCCCGAGCTTGGAGTCTTCCTGCTGCAGTCTCTTGGGTTCTGGGATTGTAGGGGAGGCTGTTACAATAGTATTCAAATGGCATCATTAGCTCACATCAACTTAGAGAACCAGAAAACACATACAGGCCTTACAGAGGCATTCTTCCAAACTCGGACTCTTCCAGAGCTAGCCTGTCTGGGTTTAAGGGCACTAGCCTCAGTCCCTTCCCTTCCCAAGTGCTCCTACAAAAGAAGGGTTCTGAGCTGGTTTCATGTGACCATCCAGAGCTGAGGCACGTGGAACATGTGTCCCTCGGAATCTCCCCAGTGCTCACACAGGGGGACTGGAGAGGGCTCAGCAGTTAGCGGTGTTGCTCTTCTAACAGATCTCAGTTCCCAGTACCTGTGTTGGGCAGCTGACAGTGCCCAGATCTCAGCTCCTGGAGGAACCCGACACCCTTTCTTCTGGCTCCCTCATAGATAGACAAACACACATACATAGTTTTTCAAGTGGTCATACAGACCTGTGCAGCAGAGCAGCCCTATGCTACTGTCCTAGGACATCTAACATCTGGGTCATCAAGGAAATGTTCAGGCAGGTGCTGTTCTTCTGAACGCCTGCCCCTACGTTCCGAGCTGAACATACCTCAGAAATTCGTGCCCATGTTTATGTGTGTGGCTTTAGCCCACAACCTTTCACCCCTATCTCCTTCCCACCCATCTCCTTCCTCTAAGTCCCACCCCACCCCCCATCCCCCTACCCCCGCCACACACACACACATCTCCCTGACTTCCCTCAAGCCCACCTTAAGCATCTTGCAAGGTACAAAGTAGCCAGCCTCCCAGCCGCCTACCTCTGCCTAGGGGATAGCCAACCACCTAGTCTGGAAGATTGCAATATTTACATATGCAAATCACAATGGCAGCTTCATCTCCTCCTCTTTCTCAGCCTTAACTGTCTCTTTCTTTGTCCTCTATGGCATTTCTTCTGTTTGCTTCTTTCACTTTCCTCTGTACTCATTTCCCCCTCTCTTTTAGAAAAAATAAATTAATCTTACACAAAGTAAGCACTTTTTAAATATTCATGAGGATGGAGAGATGGTAGGAAAGGTAAAATGGAAGCTGGGGTAGTGCATCTTAATTTTCCTTTTAAGCTCAGGGTAAGATTTAAAGAGATAGAGCAAGAAATTATTGTTTTAAGTGTAAGGAAAGCTGGGTCTAAAAGCACAGGCCTGTGATCTTCAGTACTTGGGAGGCTAAAGCAGGAGGAGCACAAGTTTTGGCCTTACTTGGGCTACAGAGTTCAAGGCCATCCTGAGCACCTTCATCAGATCCTGTCTCAGAACATAAAAAGAGGGGCTAGCAAGCGGTATGCTTCCGTGCATAAAGGCACCTGTCACCAGGCCTGTTGGCCCACATTGGGTGCCTGTATATACTGTACACACACACATACAAACACAGAGAGAGGTAGTAAATATTTTTAGAATAAGATTGAAATTTTCTTTTAAAAATTAATAATAAAATCAAGGAGGGGCTATCTGGGCATGTAGCACACACCTTTAATTCCTGCACTTGGACTGCAGAGGCAGGAGGATCACTCATAGACAAACATATAAACATAGTTCAAGGACAGCCTTCCCAGGACTACATGATGATCTGTGTCTCAGAATAAAAGGAGGGGGGGTAGATGGTACTTACTGCTCTTGCAGAGGACCCAATTCCTAGCACCCATATCTCACGACTCATAATTGCCTGTAACTTCAGATCCAAAGGGGATCTGATGCCTTTGGCACGCACACACATACACGTAATTAAAATAGTAAAAACATATCTTTAAAATAAAAGATCTGCACATGTAGCTCAGTGGGAAGAGTGCTTAGCTCCTGAGGCCCTCGATTCAGTCCCTACAACCACAAAAATAAATGAATCCATTAAAAAGTAAATGCGGAGAGAGGCCTAAAAGTTCGGGTCTCAGTATTAGCTGCTCACCTAGTGAGCTAGGGAAAGCACCCTCCTTTTGCTCTGAGATTACGAGTGTCTCCAGACCCAGCAGCCAAGAGCCAGATGTGGAGCTCGGAGACAGAGTCCTGGCCTAGCATCTGCAAGCCCCCAAGTTTAATCCCCAGCACCAAAAAAAATAAACAAAGGCCAAGTACGGCTTGAGCTCTGCCAGCCATGTAT